AAGTCATGAATCTAATATGTATCTCCTGATTAAAAATTAATATAATAACAATTAAAATAAAATATGTAAAAAAAAGAAAATAAAGTTTACATGATTTAGGATAAGTTACTGGACTTGTAGCGAGAGATTTTTTATGTTTTTTTTCTTCAAATTTCTGATTATGATTGGTATAATAATTGAGGGGAGGGGGGAGGGGGGAGGGGAAGGTGGAAGGGAAAGGGGGGGAAGGAAAGGGGGAGGGTAAGAATGGAAGGGGGGGAGGAGGAGGAGGAGGTAGGGAGAAGAATGGAAGGGGGAGAAAGAGGAAGGGGGAGAAAGAGGAAGGGGGAGGGGAGGGGGAGGGGGAGGGGAAAAGAATGGAAGGGGGAGGAGGAGGGAGGGAGGGGGAAGAATTGAAGAGTAAGGGGAAGGGGGGAGAATAGAAGGGAGAGAGGGAGGTAAAGGGGGAAGAATGGAAGGGAGAGAGGGAGGGGAAGGGGGAGGAGGAGGAGGTAGGGGGAAGAATGGAAGGGGAGGAGGAGGAGGGGGAGGGGAAAGAATGGAAGGGGGAGGGAGAAGAATAAAAGGGGGAGGGGGAGGGGAAGGGGAAGGGGGAAGAATGGAAGGGGGGGAGGAGGAGGGATGGGGAGAATACTGGAAGAGGGGGAGGGGGAATTGAGTGGAATGGAAGGAGGAGGGAGAGGGGGGAGGAAAGGTGGCATGAGGATTAGATGAAAGATTGGTAAGGGGGGGGGGGTAAGGGAGGTGGGTATTGCAGAGAGGGGGAGGCTGATAGGGGGGTAAGTGATAAGGGAAAAGGGTAATGAAATGGGTAAAAGGATCAGTAGGAAAGGTATGGGAAAGCACAGGTGGGGAGGAGGGGACGGGAGGAGGGAGAGGAAGAGGAAAGGAGGAAAGGAAGAAAGAGGAAGGGAAGAGGAGGGGAAGAAGGAGGGGAAGAAGGAGGGGAAGAAGGAGGTGGAAAGGAAGAAGGGAAAGAAAGAGGAAAGGAGGAGGAAAGAAAAGGAATTAGGAAGAAAGGAAGAGACGAAAACCGAGGAACGGAAAAGAATACAAAACCCCACCACCGCTTAACACGATCCAAGAAATTTCAGGAACATTAGACCTTACGCCAGGAGGCAAGAGAGCACGACATCGCCTGCTCTGTCACGAGTCACACTGGCATACAGCACAACCCGCTATCACCTGACACGCGAATACTTTTGTCAACGCATACAAATGCCTTCATGAATAGTTTATTCGAGCATTATCGTGCAAAGGCATCTTCGTCGACCCGTTGTTGCAGTGCATCAATGGTGTTGCATGGGAGAGGGGGGGGGATGGGAGGGGTGGATGGGAGGGGAAGGGAGGGAAGGGATGGGAGGGTTGGAGGGAGGGGTGGGTGGGAGGGATGGGAGGGGAGGGAAGGAAGGGAGGGAGGGAAGGAAGGGAGGAAGAGAGGGAGGGAAGGGAGGGAGGGAGGGAGGGAAGGGAGGAGGGAAAGAGGGAGGGAGGAGGGAAAGAGGGAGGGAGGAAGGGAGGAAGGAAGAGGGAAGAGAGGGGGAAAAGGAGGAGGAGAGGGGGGTGAAAAGGGTGGAGGAGGAGGAGGAATAATAATAATGATGGGAACCGAAGAAAGAGTAGGGTTAGAAAAAAAGGAAGAAAAGAAAGAGTGAAAAGGAGGAAGAGAAATGAAAAGAGAATGGACACAGTATCCTCAAGTTAGGATGCTGCCTCTCTCTCTCTATCTATCTATCTCTATCTCTCTCTCCCCCTTTCTCCCCCCCCCTTCTCTCTCCCCCCCCTTTCACTCTCTCTCGCATCCCCCATTACACCCTCCCCATTCCCTCCCCTCCTTTCCCCCCTCCACCCACCCCCTACCCCCCTCCAAAAAAAAAAAAAGCTAGCGAAAAAGCGCTCGACATCAGCGAAGTAATTTAGCGCCGCCGCCACCGCTTCGTGTGAAAGAACGCGTGTTATGTCAATATTCCCGGCGGAAGAACAGAGGATTTGCGAATTTCGTCTTTATGCGTCGCCGAGGGAGAGCTTCAATAGAATAAAAAAAAAGGAGGGGGGGAGGGGGGGGGTGGACGTGGATGTTCTTTTTTTTGTGTGTTTGTTTTGTTTGTCGAGTGGATTAAATGGCGCTGCAGTGTAGGGTCTTCTTGCTTTTTTTCTGTTTTGTTTTCGTTTTCGTTTTTTTTTAAGCTGTGGTTCGTTATTATTGATATCATTTACCTAATCTTTTTCATTATCATAGTTATTATCATTACTATCATCATCATTTTTATTTTATTTTTCCTCCTTCTCCTCCTCCTCCTCATCATTTTTATTTTCTTCCTCCTCCTCCTCCTCATCATCATCATCATTTTTATTTTCTTCCTCCTCCTCCTCCTCCTCCTCATCATCATCATCATAATCATCTTCATCTTCATCGCCATTATCTTCCTTATTTTCATAATGACATCACTATTATATAACAATAATGATGATGTTAATAATGGTGGTGCTGCTGATAATATAGATAATAATGATAATGATGATAACATTAACAACAACAATAATAATAATAATGATAATAATAATAATAATAACAATAATAATAATAATAACAATAATAATAATAATGATGATAATAATAATAGCAATAATAGTTATAATCATAATAATAATAACAATAATAATAATAATAATGGTAACAATACTATTAGTAACTATAATAATAATGATAAAAACAATGATACTACTACTACTACTAATAATAACAATAACAACAATAATAGCAATAACAACAATAATAGTAACAACAACAACAGCAATATTAATAACAACCAAGACAACATAATAACAACAACAGCAACAACATCACAAACAGCAATTTGGAAACATCAGATTGCGAACCCATTTCAGCGCCCTGTTTCAGCAAGAGCGTGGAATCCTATACCCTTTACGTGTCCAGAAAAGGAAATCCATTATTCTACAGTTCTCTTTTCAGTTCTTGGAGATTTTTAAGCTCTTTTTGGCTCTATCACTTATCTTTTTTATATAACTCACTGATTATTTTTTATTAGGTAATTGTTTCTTTGTTTTCGTATATTCATTTAATTATTTGTTCCTAGTATTTTATTTTATCATACGTTCAATTTGAAGATTGAGGACCCTGAACATGAATAAACAGCGAATAAATAAAACAAACCAAGAAAAAAAATGGAACAGAAGGAAAGAAAAAGAGAAAAAAAGCTTATCTTTTTTAATCACACGAAGATAAATAACACGAAACACGATTTGTTGGCCTTAAGTCATTAGGTCTCGCTGGACGGGCCTGCAGTCGCGCTCTGAATATTGACGTATCGGCAGACGCACAATGATAGGAGAGTGGGGGGAGGTGGGGGAAGGAGGGGGAGGGAGGGGGAAGGAGGGAAATGGGGGAGGTGGGGAAAGGAGGGAAATGGGGGAGGTGGGGGAAGGAGGGAAATGGGGGAGGTTGGGAAGTGAGGAAAGGTGGGGAAGTGGGGGAGGTGGGGGAGGGAGGGAAATGGGGGAGGTGGGGGAAGGAGGAAAATGGGGGAGGCTGGGAAGTGAGGAAAGGTGGGGAAGTGGGGGAAGGAGAGGGAAGGAGGGAAGTGAGGAAAGGTGGGGAAAAGTGGGGGAGGTAGGGGAAGGTGGGGAAATGTGGGGAGGTAGGGGAAGGTGAAATGTAAGGGATGGTAGTGAGAAGTGGAGGAAGAGGGTAAGGGGGGGGAAGGGGTACGAGGTGCCATATTCATTAGCGTGAAAGTGAATGATGAATAGGTACGAGTGACCCGGGCTGCTGGAGGATGTTTGAGAGTGAATTATCAAGGACTTGTGTCGGCGAAGTCGTGTTTGCATTTCAGTGTTATAAGCGACCAGGGCGTTTTGTCTCTCCCGTTCGCTTTTAATGGATGGAATATGGTTCTTTTAGAGATAATGATTAAAGACGATGCACAGGACGATATCTCTATTTTTCTACGATGTTTAAGGTCGTCGACGCTTAGATTTTAAAGCTGATTATGACCCTAAGGTACAAGCACACGCGCAGAATTCTCGGAAACAAACATAGCTGTCAATTAAGACCTGGATATGTTTTTGCTCCTTTTCCCTTTAATTAATGCCCGTCATACGTGATGCTTCTCGCTCTCGTAAAGGCATAAAGGAACTGATTTAATCTCCTTGTTAAATTCAACATTTGCTGTTTAATAGGGTTAATATTAACTAATACAAGTGCAAGTAATACAAGGGAGATTCCGTGAGCTTCATTTTGCACAATATAGATGGCGCTCTTGATAAATAGCTCTAAATAATCTCTGTTTCGTATGACTTTCATCGGGATTTAAGATTAATTCATTACAACTGTTCATCCTTAGCATATCTATAAGATTATATTCAGCTATCATGGAAAGATGAAAGGAAAAATTGCGAGCGACGAGGAGGAGAGAGAAGGAGGAGGAATGAAGAGAAGTGGAGGATGTGGAGGAGGAGGAGGCGAAGAGAAGGGGGAGGAGGGGGAGGAAGAGAAATGAAGGAGGAGGAAATGGAGGATGTGGAGAAGGAGGCGAAGAGAAGGGGGAGGAGGGGGAGGAAGTGAAAAGGAGGAGGAGGAAATGTGGAGGAGGAAGAAGAAGAATGGAGCAGATGGGGGCAGAAGAGGAGGAAAGAGGAGGAGGAAGATAAAGAATGGAGCAGATGGGGGCAGAGGAGGAGGAAGAAGAGACAGGAAACCGTAGGAGAACAGGAAGTTAAACCTTTATAACTGGCAGTCTCAAGAGTCTTGGTTCCCGGGTTCTTTTGAGTCTTTCTGGGGTTCTGTTTTGAGTCACCGAGTCACTTCGGGGTTCTACCTTGTGGCCTTGAGTCTCTTCTCTCGAGTCCTAAATTCTTGAACGAATTACCGGTATCCTCGCTTTAATACCCATTCACTCATTCATATTAATGATAATTTTATTCATAATAATTCATCCATAATAATTTATATCTCTCTTGACTATAAATCCTGACCTTAGATTATAATACTCATTTAGTCACAGAAAATGACATCAAACCTCAGGATTTAAAGATCTGTAGACCTACTTTTAGGCATCCTGTGATTAGCATTTAGTGTCAGGGATTTAATAATCCTTCATCCCGGATTTAAAAGCTGCTGTTGTCCGATTACGTGCGTCGTTTCGGATTAATGTCTATTGTTCAGATTTCAGATTTATCAGGCCGCGAATCCGGATGTGTTACTCGTGAATCAGATCTGGATTAATGAGCGTTTTGGAATTTATATCTATACCGTCCAGGATTTATGTCTCTTATGGGATTACAGATGTGCTGTTCTTATATAGGCGAGAGAGAGAGAGAGAGAGGGAGGGAGGGAGGGAGAGAGAGGGAGAGATAGAGAGAGAGAGAAAGAGAGAGAGAGAGAGAGAGAGAGAGAGAGAGAGAGAGAGAGAGAGAGAGAGAGAGAGGGAGGGAGGGAGGGAGGGAGAGAGAGAGAGAGAGAGAGAGAGAAAGAGAGAGAGAGAGAGAGAGAGAGAGAGAGAGA